CTGCAATTTTTAAAAGTTTCCATTTTTTTTTGTAATTTTTTGAAAGTTTCCGATACTCGTATCCTGACGGATACCCGTATCTACTTTTAAAAAAAACCCAAAATTTACATAATAAAATTCTAAAAAAAATGAAAATCTAAAACTACATTTTACTTGGTAATCAAATAATGGGCCTATATGGCTATATCCGAATTAAGTCATTAACTCATACTCCGAATTGGATACTTGCACTTTTAATTTCAAGATTGTAGTTGTTTGACTTATTTCTCATTTTAAATTAATGACTTATTGACTATATTTATATTTCGAGATGACTAGTGTATATGAGAAATATTATGAATTTATTACTAAGTATCTTGAAAAAGGAAAATGCTTCAAAGCAATGAATAGGTAGACATCATATGATATTATATGTGTGTGTGTATATATATATATATATATTAAAAAAAATCTATTTTTAATATTTATAAATAGACCCCTATAACTTTTAGTATTTGTAAATACACCCCCATAACTTTTAATATTTATAAATATGGCCCCGTATCCGTATCCTACCTTTTTTGGTTTTGACGTATCCCCGTACCCGTTTCCGCGTTTCCGCGTTTCCGCGTACCGGTATCGGTGCTACATAGTTGGTTACTATGACCAATGAAGGTGTTGGTCACTACGGGACATTGGGCACTGTGACGCGGGGCAAACTGGGCCAGGTGAAATAAAAGGTTATAATGGTCCTCCTAATCACTTTTAGTCTCATTTTTGGAATTTTGAACAAAACATCACTTTTTGTCCAAAGCTTATTTTTAGTAATATTTTTTTACATAACCCCTTGTTAGTTTTCTACGAAAAGAACCCATATGTTTGATTGTTTTTCGATCTATGCTATCGCGCCAGTTGTTTAGGCACAATATATAATCTTATTCCATGTACAAAACAAGAATATATACTCCGTAATGAGAGAAAATTCCGAAACAACAGGAGTTTCAAATGCCCCATGCAAAACCAAGGCAATTCCCATTAGGGTACAAAAAAACGGGATTCAGAATTGCCTCTTCCGAATGAATTAGGGTTTACATTTTAAAAAATGATCGAGACTTATTCGGAATGCCCATATCCGATTAGGGAAATAACAAAAATAAAAAAATTTGACCTATTTCGATTGCCCATTTCCAAATGTGCTTTAAACAAAAAAGTGTATGAATAATCTGTTTATAGTATGCTAATATCATTGAATAGCTTACATGTTCACATTCCATCCACATTCTCCACCTACGCATTCCATTCGTATCACTTATAAAAAACTGCTTCGTTCTTAATCCTTCACCACAACACACAATACTTCTTTCTCTCTTAATAATCTATAATCTATACTATTTACAAATGGCTAGTGGGGGTAGTTCTATTGTTCTCGTCCATGGGAATGGATCCATTATCCCAGATAATGAAATGGAGTTTTTCCATACCTCCTAAGGCAGTATTGTTCATTAGCGAAGGAGATGATTTTAACACTTTATATCAACGATTTTTAGAACATGTTAAATGAGGTTTTTTTAATACAATCAACTTACGTAAAAATGCCAAAATTTTAGAATTCGGCATACATTGCTTCTAGACTGCGGTCCATTCACGATGGCCTGTCATGGAGTCATTTTTCTCGGAATGCTTCAAATGAGTACGAGAAATAGAAAATTTTCGTGAATGCTTTAACCAACAACTCTATAGTCCCACCACAAAATTCGACCTTCGTTGAAGTTCTTACAAATACTATCACTATGTTTCACAATAATATCGCGCAAAGTCCATCATCAACATATGATCGGAGGATCAACATAGAAACGTTTGAGGACTTCCGGTCTCTTGGTATGCTTTTTACTTTTTAAAGAAAATTTCAAATTTAGTGAATTGATACATTTGTTATTAATACTATTATTTAAATAAATTAGTATCGAAATAGAGAAATGAACAAAGTGAAAATAATGAGTATATACAAAATAAATGTGAAAATTTGTTGTGTAGATGAAAATAATAATAAAATTATGATATTATATGCAATGAAACTCGCATTTAGTCTAATTTACGGGTAAATTAGTTTAGACTAATTTTTAGGTTACTCTCATTAAGACTAATAAAGTAAAACTCCCATTAAGAGTAATTTACGGGTAAACTTCCATTAAGACTACAACAACAACAACATCCAAGCCTTAGTCCCAAAAGATATTGGGGTCAGCTAACATGAATCGATACATGATATCACCACCAAAAGGAAAAGAAAGAAAATAAAGATTAAAAAAATAAGCTAATATAAAAAGATAATATAAAACGAGATGAGTATACCTAAAAATGATAAAATAAAAAGGACAAAAATAATGTTTATACATATAAGGATAAAAGAATAAAAAAAACAAGAAGATAAAAAAAACAAGAAGTTAAACTTCCATTAAGACTAATAAAGTAAAACAAATTTAGTGTCAACAAAGTGATATTATTCAGATTATTACTCATTTGGATAAGAACTTTTTATAATCTACTTTGTGATATAATAATCTACTCATGATTGTTAAATATGTGAAAGTTCTCTGTGTGCAAATAAATGTGAAAATTAGTACGTAAGTTTTAAGGAGAGTAATAAAGCTCATTGATGAGGAGTAATTTAGATAGACATTACTTTAGTAGTAATTAAGATGAAAATCAGTAGTTTATATGAAAATAATATCTATTGTTTTATATAGTAAAGCTGAGTTAAAAAAAGCTGAAGTGTCAATCTCTTATTGGCTAACAACAATAATTAATATCACTACTTTAATGTTATGAAAATTCATACGTAAAAGACTCACAATTTTATTCAATGATATGAGATAACGTAAGAATAGGAGTTTGACTTTTCAATGCTAATCAAAAGGTTAGCAAATGAAATTTTAATGGAGTACAATACTCCTTATATACGAATAGGACTCTCTGTCTAATAATAATAACAACAACAATAATAATAATAATTATAATAATAATAATAATAATAATAATAATCTATTGTTTTATATAGTAAAACAAAGTTACAATCCGCTTATGTGTCTCTCTCGATCTTATTGGTTAACAAAATTTGTATCAATACAACTATTTAAATATTTAATTTAATTTATTAGATCAAGTAATGTAATGAAAAATAAATCAAGAGAAGAAGTAAGAGAAAAAAAGTTTTTTCCCAAATTAATGTCAAACAAATAAATAATTCCCAAACTAATGTCTGGTTAAAAGTATTTCCCAAAATACTACTGAAATAATCAGAGTTAGGAGAGCCGCCACTTCAAGTGGCGGCTTATAAGAAACGAAAGTAACGCACGTAAGGAGCAAGGCTAGAGAGGAACATGTCACTCAAGAATTCCACCAAATAAAATCTATGTTTTTTTTTAAAGTGGTATAACTTTTTTATTTGTACTCCGATTGTTACAAAAAATATATCAAATTTCATAATTTTTTATTATTTTTCATTTGACACCAATATTGAATATATAAAACAAAATAAATAATTTTACACTTTTTATTTCCCTTTTAAATTGTATAATTTTTTATTTAGTTTTATATATTCAATATTGGTGTCAAATGAAAGATAATAAAAAATTATGAAATTTGATATATTTTTTGTAATAATCAGAGTACAAATAAAAAAATTATACCACTTTAAAAGAAAATGGAGATTTTATTTGGTGGAATTCTCCAGTGGCATGTTCCTCTCTAGCCTTGCTCCGTACGTGTGTTACTTTCGTTTCTTATAAACCGACACTTGAAGTGGCGGATCTCCTTACTCTGGTTATTTCAGCAGTATTTTGGGAAATACTTTTAACCAGACATTAGTTTGAGAATTATTTATTTGTTTGACATTAATTTGGGAAAAAAACTAGGAGAAAAACGTGTATCAATAATTGGAGAAAAAACTAGAGAAAAAGTCTGAGAAAAAAGTGGAGAACAAATTGGAGAAAACGTAGTCACACTATAGACTTGAATTCTAAACCATATAGGACTCTAAAATTTATCACTTAATCAAACACGAATTCTTTAAAAAAATTATTCTTTCTTGCAAAAATAGTTAAATATTTATTCTGTGAATACACCTAATAGGACTCTAATACACACGACACGCGAACATATAGATATGACTGATAAGACTAAAAAGCTAAAAAGTAGGAGTTATAAAATGGGCTACGAAATAGGCGGAGATATATTACATGTATTACGATGCACTTTTTTCCGTTTAGTTATTTTTGGCATCTTACTGTTCTTGAGCTCAGTTTAATCTGATTTGATTACAAAGTGTGCGTGGGTGTGTGTATTAAACTAAATTAATATGACAAAAAAAAATATACTACGTACTAGAAAATGTATATTCATTACAGATTGTTTTCTACCATTTTTAAAAATGGATTTTCAGCTTTTGACTTATAAAAGTTGAAGTGAGTATTCTTGAAGGATAACTTCTGCTTAAATTAGCAATTAAAAGCTAAAAGCTAAAAATAGATTGAAAGATGCTTAAAAGTGGTTTTTTAGTTTTTTATTATACATAAATTATTTTTATCACATTACTAACTTACTCTTCAAAAACACTTTTTCTCACATGCTATTTTCTAGCTTTTACTCTTCAAATACGTTTTTTATCACACTACCAACTTTTACTTTTAAGCAAATTGATCTAAAAATCACTTTTTTTAATTACTATTTTCGAAAATCACTTTAGAAATTCATTTTTTAAAGTAGAAAAAATCGCAAATACTCTCTTAATATTGAAGCTTGCCATGAGACATTTGCAAGTGTACATATATTTAGCGGCCAACCCAAAGGGTATTTATCCCAAAATTTTAATATAAATGTATTTGTAATTTCCTACACTGCCGCCCCTTCTAGCGGGAATTCCCGCGTCCACCGCTTCAAATATTTCATATACTATATACTCTTATATATTAGGGTACATGGAAATATTGAAAAAATATAGATGATTTGATATAGGGACTCACCTTAATTGAAGACGGATGCTTTCATTATAAACCGGGCAAGTTTTAAAAAACTGTTACAACTTGAACGGCCATTGAATTCAACAATTATTCTAGAAAAAATAAACAGAAATTAACATTAACTAATAATAAAAATGGTTGTTTTACCCTTACCCACTTTAACTCACTTTTGACCTTTTACTGGATGAGAAAATGATTTACTTTTTCTCTTTTTATGCTTCCTCCGTTCTTAACTAACTATTACAATCTATTTTTCATGTTTGTCGATGTATAACTTTGACCATTAATATACATACATACATGCATACATACAAACATACATACATACATACATACATACATACATACATACATACATACATACATACGTACGTACGTACATACATACATACATACATACATACATACATACATACATACATACATACATACATACATATATATATAATTCTCCATTAGTAAAAGTTTGATTTAAAAACAAAGAATTTGAAAATTTAAAATGATACGAATTTAACATAATTTAAAAAAAAATTATTAACACACTAATAATTAAAGCATATTTGTAGTAGAATATGTGAATAACGTAAAATTCGATATGTTGCACTCATTTAAGAACAAAGACAATATACAATAATATTCTCAACCTCTATTGATATTCCTTTAAAAAATCTATTGATATTTATGAATTTAGTTCTTATGATGACACCACCGGTAGACCGGGGCATTGCCCCGGGTGTTACACTAGTTATGGTATTATTTTCATTACTATACTCATTAAATAAATTTGTATAACATTAAATAATCCAAGAATACACAAAATAGTTAATTGAGAAAAGGGTCAAACGAGGTCTTCTACTATTATGAAATCGTCACATGAGATCATGTACTCAATAAAGTGTCTTATAAATATGTCTACTTATAAAAACAATCAGATGAGTCCTAACGGCATGTTGCCAACCTCATAATTCCAGTTTTAGCGTATGCTTGACTATGTTCTTAAAATATATTATAAGGCTGACGAGAAATATTTGTCATGATTGGATTAAATACAAGGCAAAAATAATGACATGTAAGTTAAAATCGGGATTAGGAGCTGAGGTTGTTTACGGGTCCTTTTGACTCATCTGATTGCTTTTTATAAGTAGACATATTTATATGACACTTTATTGAGTACATGACCTTATGTGATGATCCGTAATAGTACAAAACCTTATTTGACCCTTTTTCCTAATTAATTTAATAATTTATGTGTAAATCTATTTTGTTATGTATAATTACCAATTTATGATATATATATATAGATTATGTACATCTATTTTCTACAGTCGTAAACTTGTCTGAGGACTCGAATGATCCAAACTTTGAACAAGTTCGTCGTAGTGATGTTGAATCATCTTCTAGCGGTGATAGTGACGAGGCGGTAGATACCACATGGGTCACTCTGGAGATAGACGAACCATATGTGGAGGATGTTAATCGTGATCCAGACGCAGGGAGGACGGTGTGTTCCTAAGTGCGGTGATTGTAATACTCGAGAAAGTTTAAAAGGATTAAAATTACAACAATATTCTCATTCATGAGCATCTACAAATAAATCTTTCAAATTACAATCAAATAATAATTTTTCTCATACCAAGAAGGTGCAACTTTTTTCATGGGTGCTTTCTCATCATATAAGAACTCTATAATAATTAAATTTGCTTGTGAGGAAGTACTCTTTGGATGGGTGAGTCCTCGAGATGTTTTCCGTGGGGCTCACGGGTTAAAACAAAGTGCATGATAAAGAGTTGTATTGACTTGTAAGTGCTACCAGGTATAAAAAGCATCTAAGAGTAACAACCTTAGAGCTAGTAACTTTAAGTAGACGTATTTATATGACACTTTTTGAACCATGTCAATTTCTTCTGTAAAACCTTTGGAGCTGAATTATGTGGAAGACACTAGTAACTCATTGTGTTTACGAGACATTGCAATGATCAATGATCTCTTTGAGACTACCATGACTAATGGGGTTAATTTACTCTCTCATTTTCTTATCAAAGAGTTTGAAAGAATTGTTACCTCTTGTATGGAAACTAGGGACTCTTTAAATAATAGATTAACTAATGAAGTTAATCCAGAAGTAAATTCTTTGAAAGATGCTACTACAGATAATCAATGCTCTATTGGTATCATGTTTTTTCCGAAAAGACATTGTCATATTCAGGGGATGACTTTCTAGGTTGTTGGAATAATTGGCCCGATTTAATAATGACCCATTAACCATTTTCAATAAAGCTATTTAGACCCAACTTGGGAGGAGCCCAATAAGGAGGCCTGTCCGACGCTCGTCCTATCTTCGAAGCCGCTCGACGTTTGTGTCCTTGTCCAAATAGAGCCAGGTGAGGATCCAAGAGCCTTGGAAGGGGTGTTTGGCATGGCCTGAGCAGCGGGCCTGACCTTGAGCTTTCCTTGGCCCAAGTCAGGAGATCAGGAGGACGCTCGTCTACAGCCCTTGGCGGGAAAGCAGGATATTGGCGAGAAACGCATTTAATGCAGTAGATTTGGTGGTTGGGAAACTAACCACTCAAGAACCTCCACATCATCACTACCACCTACCTCTTGGTAGTATAAATAGTACTCCCTCCGTCCCTTAAAACTTTGTCAACTTTCCTTTTTTGGATGTCCCACTAACTTTGCCACATTTTCTTTTAAGTAAAAAATTTGTGGTTCCTGTTACTTCTCTCTCCTCTGCACAAACCTCTACCACACAGTTTTTACTTTATTAATCCCCGTGCCGGTCAAACTTGGCAAAGTTTTAAGGGACGGAGGTAGTAGCATTTATTTCATAGTTAGGTTGTTGGCAACTTGTATTCACTAGCTATAGGAGTTATCCCGTTATATTCTCAGCTCAGTTTAGACGTTCGGCCTCGTCCGACAGTAGTGTGAGCTGTAATTGTTCCTTATTACCACTTAATAAGAACTCGGCCCACTTAGTATTTGCTATCCACTTATTGCTTGTGCCATTTATCATATTCGACCCACTAAACTCATTCTATACGAAACTCAAAGGAAGGTGTTGGGCCTTTGGAGTTGAAGGAATAAATCTCAACATAGGTCACACATCAAAGAGCGAGAAAGAGCTCCCATTTCAGCGATTGGGGATCCGTGGGACTCCAATACAAATCAATACATATGCAACAAGGCTTGCCTAGTCACGCAAGAGAATTGCTTACCCACACAGAACCTCAATACTCAAATAAAAATTTACAGGGAAAAGCATCAGTAATTTCATCACATGAGAACTCCTCTCAATCACAAGAGGAGTTAGGATAATATCTTGGAACTTAATGCTTTATAGGGAGGGACTCTTGATTCTTAGGGTAGGTTTGTCTTATTCATAGTTTAGTATTGTCCTTTTGGTTTTTTTTTTTCTTTTATGTTCCTTTTTCGTCTTTTGTTTTGTAATATGTTTCTCTCTTTCATCAATAAAATTTTCCCTTTCTTAAAAAAAAAAGAACCCTTAGACCTTATGGGATTCAAGTATTACAATAAGTGGCCAATTTGAGAACTTGAATAGGAACATCAAAGTAATTTGATATAATGTTATAGGGGGCACACAAGAAAGATTCATCTGATAAGCTAGATGATGCCCTTTGGAAAGTTTAAAACTATAACCTATAGTGACATCAATGCAATATGAAAGAAATTGGCACGAAATTGACACGAACCATAACATATTTTTGACATGGTTTTGTACCGAATAGCTCATGGCAAAACAATGTTGATATACATTTGTCACAAATTTGACGTATTCATGCCAAACTCATGCTAAATCCCTTATGAATTTTCTTGAATATAAGCCAAAGATCCGTGCCGCATCCGTTATTTTATTTGTTGTGAGAACAATTTCCCTATATAATACTACGTATATATAAAATTTGCCGCGAATTAAAATTTCAAAAAATAGTTTTTTTATACTTTTTACCAATAGTGAATGTTAATGATCAAAGTATTAACAAATACGTAGTCGTATAAAATTAAAATTGTTGTAACTATCTAGAACAAAGCCTCAAAGCTAATATTTTGATATCACGAATAGAAGCTATGAATGTTTATGACAACCTCATAAATGCTATACATATTTTAATTACTTTGTATTTATTTAACACCGCAACTTTACATTTATGGAAGAACAAAACATTGGCATAGTGTCAAGATAACTTTTTAATAAAATTAATACGAGTATGTATACTGCACATGTAAATTTAGAATATTTATATTATTATTTTTAAACCAATGTTATAAGTTGAAACAAAAATTGAATTGATCTGTACCGAACATCATCTAAGGATGTTTTCTTTTGAACTTCTAGTCTGATCTTGTCTGATGTGATCTGGTTTGATCTTTTTAAGTCTGGTCTGGTCTGATGAATGTTTGATCTTTGTGTATTTTATAATTTTTCAAGCCAGTTCTGGTCTGTCTAGTATAGTCTGCTTAAGTCTGTTCTGATCTGATCTATTTATGTTTAATTTGTTCTGGTCTGATCTAAGAGTGAAAACCCAAAAGAAAACATCGTAAAAGCTTATGAAATGCAAGCAGTACGTACTTGCCCATCATCCTGCATATACAATTCAACGGGCGGATAGGATTGCCGCTCTTCTTGGCTATTCGCTTTAGGATTTTTCCTACAAACGATATGAAAAGCATGATACAATTTAATTTTGTATTAAAAGAAAGGAAAAATTCTCGAAATATGAGTAAAAACATTTGAAAATTTCATTTTAAGGGGTTCAATCTTAATTATATGTGGTACACTTAAAACATATACCATATAAAATTGAATGATAAATTGATTTTGGAAGTCCACTTTTTGAGCTAAGGAAATTGGAAAGTTCTGTAGATAGAACTAAACGTAGAATTGTCATCGATTAATGGATGTTTTAATTTTTCCTTCGAATTGCAAGTGTTTGGAACGTTGGTTAACGTTTTGAAACTGTAATGCGTGATTAATGCATGATTTAATTGCGTGGTTAATGATCTGTAACGTTCCAACCCATTAAGATGTGTTTAATGGGCGGTTTCACTAGAAACCACCCATTAAACACAACACACATACATACACTAGAAACTACTGCATTGATCCAACTAGAAACTAATGCATTGTTCTCTCCAACGAAAAACTTTGTCAAACTTCCGACAAAACTTCCTTCATTCTATCCTTTGTTCTAGTTCGCCGGAATAACCTATTGAGTGCCCAATATGATTGTTCGTCAGTTGTCATATTCTGGAAAACTGAGTTGCAACGCTCATTTGAGCGAATTTGTGCTAATTCTTTGTCTAGTTCTTCAAGCTATTTTTAATTTCTTATTTTTTGGGAATCAAACCAATTCCCACACTATTATGAAGGTAAACTTTAATGGAAATTTTTATGAAATAATGTACTCCCTCTGTCCCGCTATGATTGTCCCATTTTTCCATTTTGGTCCGTCCCACTAAGATTGTCCCATACCTTATTTGGTAAAGTTTGTGTGGTTCTAAATCATTCCTACTTTATTCTTACTTTATCAATTCAATATCAACCACATAAACCCACTTTTATTAATAACCGTGTCACCTTCTCTTGTCCCAAACTTAGCGGGACGGAGGTAATATATTTTAATGTCTACACAAAATGGACAATTTTAAAACAATATTATTATTACATAACTCACGACCCTTCACTTGAATAGGGTTTGTATCAATCTTCGAAGTAAAATTAAGAGGCCGTTTGACAATATTATTATTAGGATTGTTTTTTTGCTTATCAGCTAATTTTTTTACCAAACACGTAATTTTTGCTTTCGCGCGCTGAATTGTGTAATAAGCAGAAAAAGTAAAGTTGAAATTATTTTTGTGACTGTATTGGCTGAAGTTACTATAGAGTACCATTTTAGCTATTTTAAATATAATTTTTTTAAATTTTATCAATAAAATATATTTTAAATTTTTTTTTATTTTTTATCATTCTTATCAGCCAATGTAGGCACTTCACCCAGAACTTCATAAATTTCAGCAGAATCAACCAAATCAGCCGATTTTAGTGCTACCAAACGGGCTCTAAATCTTTATAAAAATGTTCTATTTTCTTTTAAGTAAGAAAATCAAACATATATATAGCTAGTACTTCCAGTTAATTTTCGACACCCCAAATAAACAATAGCCCTGCATTTTTCGAGACCCCAAAATCCCAAATAACTCTTTGTTCTAATTTTTTTTTTTTTTTTTGTGCATACTCCGTATATTGGAGAATGGTAACAGTCAGTGGGCTGCAACTGTATCTCGGGAACATGCAATAATAAGAGGCGTGGAGTAAATAGAAATTAGAGATCTGATATATGGTTCACGGGACTCCCATTGTGTGGAGGAGGTGAAAATATCTCCATCGGTCAAATCAAAGAAACTAAAACAATGATCCGTGAAACCTCTGGGCCAAACAGACACTTTTACCCCGTGAAAGTATACTTCGTATATACGGGTTTAATGCACTAAACCCCCTCGTGAAATAAAAATTCGCGCATTAACCCTCTGTGATTTAAAAAGGGCGTCAAAGCCCCCTGTGTTATAATTAATCATGCACCAAACCCCTCTAAGAACACATTTAATTTCCAAAAAATGAAAAATGGTTAGTTTTTTTGTATAATTTAGAATTTTTGACAAAGTTACTTGCATATGCAACCATATTATTAAAAAAAATGACTTCAAAAATTTAAAATTTGTTCTTGGAAGGGGGTTTTGCGCATGATTAATCATAACACGGGGGGTTTGACGCGTTTTTTAAATCACAGGGGGCTAATGCGCCGAATTTTTATTTCATTAGGAGGTTTGATGCATTAAACCCTCGTATATACATTGTCCGAACTCACCCGTTTGGATAATTTTCGTGATGAAATTTTTTGATTAAATTTTTTGATGAAATTTCTCATCAAGTCTAGTTTATCCAAAAAAATTCAACTCAAAATTTGATGGAGAAGTCAGTTAAATAATTTTTTGAAGTTAACTGCGCAAAATTATACATAGAAAACGTAGTTAACTTCAAAAAATTATTTAACTGTCTTCCCGATCAAATTTTGAGTTGAATTTTTGTGTGAATAAACTAGACTTGATGAGGCACTTGTTCAAAAAAATTTGTGTATGTTCGTCCCAAATGGTGGAGTTCGGACGGCGGTCCAGTCAGGAGGGGCTGGACCGGATCATTTCTGCACATCATAAGTTTTTTTTTTTTGATGATCACATCATAAGATTTATTGAAATGCCCGATTCATTAATTTTATTACATTTTTCAGAATGACAAAGTATTGATTATGAACAAGTTATTTTTAAACACTCCGTTATATTTAAGGATAAATTAAACATACATATATTTATATACCAAATGTATTATTGGGCGTGTTTGGTATTTAATGATTAGCGGATAGCGAGTTATGTTAGCGAGATGTCAATAGAGGATTCGGTCAACGGATTTGGCTAGCGAGATTAGTTGACGACTTGACGGCTGCCACAAGATATTTGGTAATTTAGCTATTTGGCATAAAAAATAGTTGAAAATGTCATATTTCAAAACGCTGACCCAAAACTCTCCTATTTGCAGTGTTTCTGTTTCAGCGATTCCGTCCAAAAACACTACGGGCGAACAACTATTTACCAAACAACGTTGTGAAAAGTGAAAACACTAAAAATGATCACACAAATATTTTTTATCGAAACACCATTTTCCAAAACACCCCTATTATGTGCATGATACTCCCTCTTCTTAAAGATTACATGTGGGCATTTATTTTTGAATGTTTCTAAATAAAATCTTACTACGTACTACGTACTGTATTTCTTAATTTATTGGGTAAATAAATTCTACCAATTTACAATACGGAGTATTACAGATTGTACGGTGCCAAACAATTTTGAATGGATAAAATGTTGTTAAAATAGTGTATTCTATGGTAAATTTTACTTTAAGAGCCCGTTTGCTGACCTCTTTTTTCGGTTTATCAGGCTTATCAGCCAGTTTTTTCACAAACACGTAACTTTTAATAAGAAAATGTCTTATTAAAATGGAATTTATCGTTTCTAAATTGGGAATTTTTAATGTTTTATATTCTCTAATAAGACTCGATAATCCTATTTAATTTCATGAATACATACACTTAGTCATAGTTTTAACTTTGTTAACGACATCCTTTTAAAAAAACTGTGTTATATATGTTAACCAGATTTAATCTTTACTCGTATTTGAGCAATTTATTATTGTTAATTAATGCGTAGTATGTTAACTCCTCAAATAATGTTCATACTTTGACTATTGAAGGTGCATTTGTTAATTTGACATTTTATTTCCTCAAAATTTATATTCCTTAATATTTCCTAAAAATAAATCACTTTCCATATTATATTGTTCATGTGAACTTTTAATATAGTTTTTACTGCGGACAGAACTATATGATTTATGTAATAAATTTTACATCTAACTAAGTTTAGCATCGTAATTCTTTTCAAACTCGTGAGCCAAAAAAATGACAAATATATTCTGGGATAAAGTAGTCCGTTGTATTTTATGAAAAAGATTTTACAAATTTTTGTTTTAGTACATATTTTTTAATTTTTTGAGTCCCTCTTTTAATATATTTTTTATAATATTATTAGTTTACAGTACAATATATTTGCGATTATATTGTACTAAGAAAAATAAGGAAAATAAACAAAATAAGGAAATGTTTGCGATTATCTCTACTCAAAAATGATCTTGTAAGTCATTTTAGAGAAAGTGCTTAATAGTAAAAGTTAGTAGTGTTTGAGAAAAAATAATTTTGAAAACGTAAAGTTGATAGTGTTGGAGTATAAAAGTGTTTTTTTTGTGTTATAGAAAAACTGAAAACCAAATTAAAGCACTACTCCATCAGCTTCTAGTTTTTATCTCTTTAATGATGAATTGAGTAGAAATTGTTACTTGAAAAAACTCATTTCAACCTTTTAATGCAAAACTTGAAAAGCGCTTTTTAATATTTATTGCAGATGCAGTACTCTGTAAGGTTGAAATTACTTTTTTGATTGAACAGGGTAAAAGTATTTAGTATCTTTTTAGTTATTTTTGATGTATGTTTTTCTTTATTTTATTATCAAATATATTTAAATACGTACTCCGTATAGTTTTTCAATAATTTGAGCAAGTTTAGTGCGTGGTTTCAACCAGCATTCAATCAATTTGAGTTACTAGCTAGCTAAATGTATTTATAATTTAAAAGATAAAGGTGATGGATAGAAAGAAATACGGGTGAAAAGAAAACCTAACTGCCTTTTGGAAGGTGCACAGGGCGTGAGAAGAAATGCGACCCCCACACAGAGCAGCAGAGCAACAACGTTAACCTCCCTTCCCATTCCGCCTCGTCTCATCATCCTCAGCTCGGAGTAGTAGTGTATATATTTTTGCGTCTGCCCTGCAAAACATGCAGGCAGTTTATATACATTTGGAAATTAATTCATCCAAACAATAATTGAAGCACATAAAATTAATTCATTCATATCTTACACTCCGATCCCTATAATATATATGATGAATCTTTCAGTCCTTGCTAGCTAGTCTTGATCTTAAGAAATTAATTTTTTTTTGGAACATTAAGAAATTAATTAATCAATACTCGTATGTATAATTAATCGACGCACGGACTGATCGATCCGAATATAGTATATACTACTATACATCCATACGTAATTAATTAATTGCTTACACTTAGCTTGAACGCGCATGTGGTGAGCTGAGGTTAATGAATTGAAGCATGAGGCCGGCGGGCGGGCAGAGAAAAGATCGATAGATACAACAGCTACTAGTCACAGAAACCGCATTCACACAAAATGTACGTACTTTTTTTTTTTTATTGTGCTGTATATATAGAGAGCTATGAAGCACGGATACTTTGCTAGGGTAGCGTATCGGCGTATCCGATACGTTCCCGTATCCGATACTCTAGGATACCCGTACCGTACGTTCCCGGGCCGTATCTGCAATTTTTAAAAGTTTCCATTTTTTTTTGTAATTTTTTGAAAGTTTCCGATACCCGTATCCTGACGGATACCCGTTTCAACTTTTTTTAAAAAAAAATCCCAAAATTTACTTAATAAAATTCTAAACATAAATGAAAATCTAAAACTACATTTTACTTGGTAATCAAATAATGGGCCTATATGGCTATATCCGAATTAAGTCATTAACTCATACTCCGAATTGGATACTTGCACTTTTAATTTCAAGATTGTAGTTGTTTGACTTATTTCTCATTTTAAATTAATGACTTATTGACTATATTTATATTTCGAGATGACTAGTGTATATGAGAAATATTATGAATTTATTACCAAGTATCTTGAAAAAGGGAAATGTTTCAATGCAATGAATGAGTAGACATCATAAGATATTATATGTGTGTGTGTGTGTGTATATATATATACCCCTATAACTTTTAATATTTGTAAATACACCCCCATAACTTTTAATATTTATAAATATTATATAAATATATATTTTCAAAAAAAATCTATTTTTAATATTTATAAATAGACCCCTATAACTTTTAATATTTGTAAATACACCCCCCATAACTTTTAATATTTATAAATATGGCCCCGTATCCGTATCCTACTTTTTTTGGTTTTGACGTATCCCCGTACCCGTTTCCGCGTTTCCGCGTTTCCGCGTACCGGTATCGGTGCTACATAGAGAGAGAGTTATGTGAGAATACGAATAATGAGGCTTGTTAATTACATTGATAGCCCTCCATACATAAATAGTTGTAACATTACAAATTTTATATTATTCATGTTCTCTACTTTAACTATATTTTATTTATGATGCATTAAAATGTTATTTTAAAAAAATATGTAATAAAATTCTTCTCACTTTTGAATTTTTAAAATGTGATTCTTTTTTTTTTAAAATTTTTTCAATTGAGAAATCAAATATATTAATAGTCAAAATTGTGTGTTGGCAAACATGAAATTGAAAGTGACGCAACTAACAAGAATAAAGGAAATATATACTACCTATAAGCAATGAATGAGTTTGAATTAATACATAAGTATTATGTAACATAACGAACAACCAAATCTCCATTAAAAACTCGCTCATGAACAAAATGAAAATCAATAATAATGTGTGTACTGCAATTAAGCATGTTGAATGAGATTAGCAGATAAATACGACGCAGACATATTATCACACAGAAATTGAGCATGCGTACAAATTATGATAGCTATGCTTAGCTTGAACAAAATCGAACTGATGTGGAGTGTATCTTGAAATCTTGAATGGTGTAAGCAATAGCCCTATACTCAACTTCTGTTGACAACTTGGAGACAGTAGATTTTCTTGGATTACCAGGATACCAATTTAATTTATTAGCACCAAGAAATATAATATGGCAAAACCAGATATAAAACGACTATTATATATATATATATATATATATATATATATATATATATATATATATATATATATATATATATATATATAATATATATATAATATATGGGCACCCAGCTTAGTGATCAGCATCTGAGTAGGCAATAATAGCATGAGAGGAGATGACTATAGCAACAATCCATGCGTCAATGAGGCCACAGATACATGAAAGTACGATTCATAGCAAAAAAAAGTGTGTGACTTGGGAGTATGCATGAATTGGCAAACCACGTGAAAATCATATGTAATATAAGGCATAGACATAATCAAATATTTTAAAGCACCCATCATACTTCTATACTTAACCGGATCTGCAAGAAGGTCACCATCAGAAATAGAGTTTGGTTCGATTAGGAAGAGGCATGAGTACGAGCTCAAGAGTGTGATGATAAAAAGAGTGTTTATTATCCGACACATATTTTTGTTGAGAGAAAAAAAGACCCTGAAAAGTACGCACAACCTGAACACCAAGAATAAAAAATCAATATCTCCTAAATCCTTCATAGCAAAATATTATCCAAGTAATAAAATGATATCCATTTTATATTATATATATTATATATCTACAATCTTATAATAGTAAATCATGGTCAGGGCATTTAAGGGAAGAAAAAAATGTTGATGTAATCACCTAGCTTAGTGGAATGATACTATGTGCTTAACCATTTGTATTTTGTACTCTGCTAAAAAAACAATTTTCCGTTTTATTTCCATCTATTCTCACTCAAAGCAGTCTTGTACTCTTGTCTATTCATCTCTGTCTTTCATCGTCACCTTGAACACACCTTTGGTTTCTCCCTATCTTGCCACTTCCAACCCTACTATCACCCACATGCCCCGTACTTCACCCAACTACTCTTGTCCGGCCTAACCTCACCTAACCACTAAGCATCTAGGTATGTCTTTTTTCCGCTTTCTTGGCTTCACAGTGAACTTTGTTAGGCTATGTTTGGTGAGCCAGATCAGCCCATAATGAGCTAGAATATTTCAAATTCAGTCATTCTTTTTTAGAGTAGCCTTGTTTGGACAAATGACTTAAGTGAGCTGAATCTGAAATATAGAGGTTGAAACAAAACTTAGGTAATCAAACGTTTCTATTGAGCTCATGCGTTAAACAAATGTAATCCCCAAATCATCCCTGCCGGCTTTAACGATGCTTTTGTTAAATAAAAGCCTTTAATTCAATAGTTGATTAATTGGCCGGGTTATTAACCGGGTTGTTCAGTTTGTTATCTTTGTATTGGTCTAATCATTCTGTTAAGCCTGAACTATAAGTACCGCGTTTTTCATTTGAATAAACAGTCTGCTTTCTTTCTTCTCAATCGATCTCTTATTCTCCTCAGATTGGTATCAGATCCATCAGCGATCTTAGGACCTCGCTTGAAAGACAATGATCAACAGTACTGGATTTCCAACGACACTTCCGGTTCTCAATGGCAAGAATTGGAATCGGTGGAAGATTCAGCTGAAAGCTATTCTTGGCTTTCATGAACTGGCGGAAATTGTTGAGAACGGCTATTATGATCTTCCGACGACACCAAACGAAGCTCAGCGATTGGCGTACAAGGAAAATAAACGAAAAGATTGCAAGGCCATGTATCTTCTGCATCAATGTGTTGATGAATCACATTTTGAGAAGATTTCTGCTGCAAACTCGTCTTTGGAAGTTTGGCAGATTCTTGAGAAGTGCTACAAAGGGGTTGATCAATTGCAGAAGGTACGATTGCAAACCTTGAGAAGAAAATATGAATTGTTGCAGATGACAGCTTCTGAAACAATAGCTCAGTATTTTACTAGAGTTATTGTTATTACAAATGAAATGAAGGAATGTGAAGAGAAAATCTCAGATCAATCTATTGTTGAAAAAATTTTAAGAACCCTAACCCCTAGCTATGATCATATTGTGGTTGCAATCGAGGAGTCCAAGATACTTGCAGATCTGAAGATTGAAAATCTTCAGGGATCTCTTGAAGCGCATGAGGTCAGGCTTCTTGAAAGGACTGCAGATAGATCATTTGAACAAGCACTGCAAGTCCAGACCACCAAGAGAGATGGTTTCACTGGCAGGGGTGGATCTCGTGGCAGAGGTAGAGGAAGGGGAAACAAGAACAAAACAAGATCTTCTTACTCTCAGGATATTAACAAAGATGAACCAGAAAGTTCCACACATAGGGGTGGTCACAAGAACTAGAGAGGAGGGAAGAAGAAGATTGACATGACCAAGATTACATGTTATAACTGTAATAAGATTGCTCACTTCTCAAGTGAATGCCAAGCACCACCAGGCCAGTTTCAGGGCTCTTCCAAGCAGTATGATGAAGCTCATTTAGCCAAGAATGACTCAGATGACAAAGAAGATGATGAGAAAGTACTATTGTTAATGACAACAAGCACCCAGAATGACTTGAAGATTGATAACATCTGGTATGTAGACTCTGGGTGTTCAAACCACATGACTGGCAATAGGAATTAGCTTGTCAATTTTGATTCTAGCAAGAGGAGTATGGTCAGATTTGCAGACAACGGGTCCATTGAATTAGGGGGTCAAGGTGATGTTCTAATCTCAAGGGACTGTGACAAAAGTGTGTTGATAACTGATGTCATTTATGTACCTGGGATGAAGACTAACTTACTCAGTCTGGGTCAATTGTTGGAGAAAGGCTTCACAATGAAAATGCAAGATGGATACTTGGAAATCTTTGATAGTGTCAAGAATAGAGTTATGAAAGTTCATCTTTCTCAGAATAGGACTTTTCAGGTAACTCTAAATACTGTTGAATCACAATGTTTTAATGCTGAGATACTGCTTGATGATACTTGGTTATGGCACTTCAGACTGGGACATTTGAATTTCAAGGATCTCAGTCTCATGAAGTCACACGAGATGGTGCATGGACTGCCTCAGATCAGTTTACCAAAGAAAGTCTCTAATGGATGCTTAGTTAGCAAACAACCTAGGTCATCTTTTGGTAGCATGGTATTCTCTAGAGCTGTATGTGTGCTTCATGTAGTGTATTCTGATGTGTGTGGACCATTAGAAATACCAACTCTAGGAGGAAATAGGTATATTGTGACCTTTGTTGATGAATGGAGCAGAAAGATCTGGTTGTATTTGATCAAACTGAAGAGTGAAATGTTTGATGTGTTTAAAACTTTCAAGTGTTTGGTTGAAAAACAATCAGAAAAATCAATTAAGATCCTCATGACTGATGGCGGAGGAGAATTCTGCTCTAAAGAATTTGAAAATTTCTGCAAAACCAATGGGATTGTGCATGAGGTGACTGCCCCTTATACACCTCAGCACACAATGGGATTACAGAAAGGAGAAATAGGACAATCTTGAACATGGTAAGATGCATGCTGAAGCAAAAGAATCTACCCCGTGGTTTG